GGCTCGATTTTTTTCTTTAAATGAGAATAAACAATAACGTGCGCGTACACAATATAGTAAAATACATTTATTAAGATAACATAGGTCCGATTATGGTAACTCTGAATTTTTGATAATTGCAAAAGTAACAACTTTTTGGGATCCTCTCATGCAACTATATTACTAAAGACATATTTTCTTCAATGAAATTTGTTTTTCAGAAATAGTTCTTTCATTAATGTCATGTACATACATTGTGTTGAAAATATTTAAAGTTTTCGGTAATTTCGAGTAGAACAATTGACAATTTTAAAAGCAGAATTTCTGTTAGAAATTGCTCCAAATTTTTTTATCAATCCTTTTTCACAAGAGAATGCCGTATATTCTGAATAACTTGACAAAACGTCGTTACGATGTATTCTTATGATTTTCCAAACCTTCCAAATGTGTGTTTTTATTTAAAATCAAATGTCATTATTTCAAATAAAGTATTTTAACATTACTCCATTTGTGGTTAAAAGGATTTTTTAAGTTCCTAAAAACCCAATAGTTTTGTGTGAAAATGAGCTTAAAATTGTGCTTAACCACAATCGCTCAAACGATATTTTCTCAGAACATGCTTCAACCTTTCTTTAGAAAAACCCAAGGATAATGATAAATGCCCTAAATAATAAAAAAACCTTACATAAACGTTAATTTTATATTTTATTTTGATTTTTCAAAAATTACAAAATTATTAAATATCCCTTACATCCTTAACATTTACATTATCGGCATTTTTACACATCATTGTATTTGTGAATACACGAGCTTCAAATGTTTTGTCAAGATGATTGTCGAAAACTCAAAATTTTTTTCTAAAAAGAGCTCGAAATTACTCATTTTTCAGAAACGCTAACACATTTTCTTAATAACAGTTTCAATTTTTTCAAAAAAATATCATATATGACATCTTATAACTATGTAATTTTCTGAAAGTCGTATTTAAGTTCCACTAATAGGGAACCAAAAAATTGAGAAAAGGTTAAAAAAATATGTTTTAAGCGCGGATAGATAGCTTCTGGGAAGAGGGTGTGGCAAACCGTAAAGCTAACTCAGAATAAAGAAATTAGGAGACTAATACGACAAAATGTGTAGAACCACTAGTATCATTCTCGAATACTACTTACGAAGTTATGTAATGTAGCATAAAAGGACGATTATTCGGTAGAGAAAGTCATATTGTCAGTTAATGAAACAAAAAAAACTCGGTAATTCTTGTTCCTATGTGTAGTAAATTACTTCCCCTAAAACACGCTATGAGCTATGTAGTATCCACGTTTCCTTGTCAGCAAAAAAATTGTTTACAGCAGAATGTTTGTCCGTCCGTGCAGCAGATAAACATTGCGAACGATAATTATCAAAATGTAACTATGATCGATGTGGCTCATGTGGCTTTGATTTGAAAGATGTTTGTTTAGAATGCTTCTTTACATGAAGGTAAACGACTTTTTTTTCAAAAATGACTCAAACCTTCTTTATTTTTTCTGATATGGAGCAATGTACGCTTAAAAATGGTACAGGTTCTTTGTTTGAACCTTTGGATTTTCGAAAATTACCAAAAAAAAATAATAATTCAAGCCTACAAGATTAAAGATAGAAATCTTATTTCTTTGTCAAATCTAAGCTTCAAAATTATATCTTCAAATAACATCATGCATAAATCTTCTGAAAATATTTAATAGTAAAAATAATAATAATTTTAGAAACAAGATTTCTCAAAAACGCTTCAACTATTAACTTGAAATTTTTTTAACGGATGAAGTTAAATCCACTGAATTACATGACATTCAACTTAAAAATGTTTACACTTTATGTGAATGTTGAAGAATATGATAATATTACGTAACGGTTACAAAGAATGCAAGAAATTTCGTGACATTGTGGCTTTACTAATAAATATTAAATACTTCTATAAATGTTACATGGTCATATAGTGCAGTGCCTCTTCTGACGGATGAAATGGGAAGTGGTGAATGACTAGTGCCCGGCGAAAACACCAAAAATATAAAATAGAAGGCTTTCAAATATTTTTCCAAAAGTTGCAATCTCCAAAAAATTTAACTTTTTAATTGTTTTAAAATTGATTCACACTGTAACCAAGCTTTCAATATTTCTGGCAATCCGAAGGAACCATTAAGAAAATTATATGAAAACATAAAATTTGATTTTTTACGTAACACTATTAGGGTCCCAGGCCTAAAAGAGTAACAGTTTTATCAAAAATCTGTGTTAAGACTCTAGGGTGCATTATTTTCGAGTGTGCTTCGGCGTGTTCTGTATTGCGGGTTGCATGCGTTCCATATGATCCAATTATACCATCATTTGATTTGATTTATGTAGTCAAAAAGCAATAAAACTTTACACGTATTGGGGAAACGTACGATTTGTGCATGGTTTGCGTATCACGTACAGACTTGTTTATTTTAGTTCTTAAATTCCTTTGATGCACCCCTGTGTGGTAATTGCAAGGGACTTATATGGTTTAATGTCCACAGTTTCCGATAAAACGGAATAGTCCGTCATCTTTCTTTAGAGTACTATATACAGAGTAAAATCCAATTGAGAATGATTATTTTCACCAGTGAAAATTATACAACATTGTACAACCAGTGTAAAACTCATTGAGACATTTTGCAGACAAATTCCCCGGTAGAGGTACAGATCTTTAGAGTAGTCTTTTAACGAAAGCTTTATCGGCATATCTGACTGGAATGCATTATATTCTATTCTTGACGGCATGAGGAAGAAACATTTCACACAACGGCAAAAGAGCAAAGTTTTAAACTATAATTTCTACCCAGGAACAACGGCTCTGAATCTGAAGTTTGGCGTCTATCCCTCTCTTTAGACCAGGGGTTCCCAATACAGACCTCCTAAGGGGTCTATGAAATTTTGAAGTGGGCTCAACGAATATAAAAGATTGACTAATAGTCAATGGTATAAAATACACCGGAAACTAATTGGTATAATGAAGATATTGATTTTGAAAAGATATTAATGGAGTTTACAATATTTTTCGAGTTATTGTTTTTACTAAACATTTCATAATAAATTACAAATTCACCCGTTTCATTTTTTTAATCAATGCAGAAAAATGAAGATTAGAAACTCGGCTATTCCGAAGAGAGCGTCTTCGATTATTTTAAATCGAGATATTTACGAAAATATTGCTATGCGGAAGTGTTTTTTTAAGTCATTTATGTGCATTTCTTTGTGCAATGATTATGAATGGAGTAAGTTGTGGAGAAAAATGTAAAGGGGTTGTTGAAGCAATTCTTTAAAATAGGGTCAAGGCAAAAACAAAGTTGGGAATCCCTGCTCTGGACCTGCGCCAGTGCTCTCCGCGAAGTCTCCTAGCCCAGTCGCAGTAAGCATGTCCTGCAATTCAAAATTCGGCAGAACGAATTTTTTCAAGGCTCATGGACAGAAACCAGTACTTACCTCCTCTGTTTGTTTGGAATGTGGTAATTTGTGAGACTTGAACCGCAAAGAATTCAAGGCCACATAAAACAACTGGGTTCAACACTAGGCAACGTGAATCCACGTGCTCCACCTCGCATATTGGGAAAGATCCCAACTGTCTACAAAGAGTACACGTTTTAATATATTTTCACTGAAAGAAAATGATGTAAGCAATTCGAACGAAAGTGTTTTGGCGTACTCCAAAACGCTGAACTCGACTCCTATCGACGGTTCATTAGTTAACATTTCATTCTTATGCCAAATACTCATTTTCTGTACTGTTTAAGTAAATAAGAGTTATAAGTAACTACAGAGAAAACATACAAGCGATGTTTTGTGTGACAGGATTGGTACTGGCTGATCTGCCGGAATCGAATCACCTGTGTGCCGCACATCAGTTTTTGCGCTTTAATCTAATGCAACATCACTGTTTGGTATTTTAGAACAGTGACGGAATTGACTCTACATATACTACGCCACATCGAGTTTATCCGATGAAATTATTAATGTTAACCTGTCATGTCTCTCCACAGAAAATAACAACAAACGTCAGAATAACGTAATTTGTTAAAACAGCATCACAATACGCATACCAAATGTAATAATGGAAGTAGCTTGTGTGTTAGTTAATTTAGCCATGGAATGTAGCCTACGGATATCTAGATTCGCGCCCTTAATCCTCGTATCGTATCTAGGTCCTTTTGGACCCCACAATCATTGATTTGTTAATATTTTCCTGTATGTGTGAAGGATAATTTCGGTCGTTTAATTGTGTCTTTGTACACTTATGAGCAAGTATCAAACCATTTACACAAATTTTCCCAATTTTACGAGAGAGTAGTTAATTTTTTTCGTTTCATGGTACTGGTTTGTGGGTATAGTCTGTAAATTTTCCATTCTCATTTTAAACATATTGTCATGAACATCAAAAATGTGTCGTATATCTTCAATTAGTGTCTCATATTTGATTGATCTCGAAAGAACTTCCACAAACTCTTACTATAAGTATTTTCCAAGCATTTTAAATCAGAAATGGAGGCTACGTACGATAGAAGTTATTCTTTATACAAAATATGAATTCTCCGCTATCCGGGAGACGCCGCGTCGTTGGCTGGGGTGCCGACGTTTCGTCTGACATGTCGCAGGCTTCCTCAGGGCAATGATGGCAGGCTTCCTCCCTGCCCTGAGGAAGCCTGCGACATGGCAGGCGAAACGTCGGCACCCCAGCCAACGACGCGGCGTCCCCGGATAGCCGAGAATTCATGGATTCGAGCCGCGGAAGCTTACGATTACATTTATACAAAATACTTAATAGGAATAAATTATACTTATTATGTTTTTGAAAATAACTTATAAAAGGTGTTCTTATAAAAAATCAATTAGTTACACCCAGCATGTTGCCGTACACATTCACGTTTACCACCAGGAAACCGCAAGGAAAGCTTGAAGCCCAAAAAACTCCAGGTATGATATTTGATACTAACAAACATATATGGTACGGGAGTTGTAGTACTCACGCAGCGGCAGGGCGGCCCACGTGGATCCCACCGCGAGCAGCAAAGCGAAGGCGGCTCCGGAACGCGACATGTTACTTCACGAAGTGCCCCTCGCGCCGACTCCCCTCACTGTTATAGCTCCCCCTCCCCTCCCCTTCCCCTCCCACACCACTGGCCGAACCCCGGCCGTTGTCGCCTTCCACCGCGAGCTCCCAAGGCCACCTGCGACCTAATCGTGGTTCGCAGGCGGCTCAGAAATGCTCTAGGCGGATCCCCAAAGCTACTTATGGCCTCCCCCATGGAATCAAGGATTGCCATTCTCAAAATGGGTCCTATTCAGCCAATCAAACTGTCAGTCAGTCCAGTCACCTCTCGAACCCTACAGACCGGGAGAGGTGGCTCAGGGTTTCAACTGATGTTACTGCGGTCTCTCTGACTGCGAGATCGTAGGTTCGCGTCATGACGGAGACAGGATTTTCGACAGTAGCTTGTCAAGTAGATCGAATATCTGGAGGAGAATTCTAGCGGCGGACTGCTCGGATCGGCAGTTTTCCGTGGTTTCTCCGGTCAAGGTCAGGCGAATGCCGGAGCAGTACCCTAATAAACAGGCCACGAAACGGACACGATCTTTCCTTCCCCTTTCTATCCTCTTCTCGTACTTTCACACACTTACACTAACATGCACTACACTACCACACATTCCAGGAGGCCGGTCGGGAGCTTAGAACCTCACGCGGCTGGGGAGGCTCCCCGCTGGTTGGAGATACCTTGTCAGGAAAACCCCCTCTAGCCGCCGGTAGGTCTACGCCGGATGTCACCTTCGAACGGGGGAAGATCACAGCTACCTCACGAAGATAAACATACACTACACGTATAGGACTAATGACCTTAGCCGTTGATGCGCACGGAATCACTAACAATGAATCAATCAAAATGGACCTAGCAGTCTATCAAACCGTCAATCAGTCGAGTCAATCAATCGAGTGGAAGAGGTCTTGTGCAAGGTTGAAGAGGTCTCATGCTAGGTTGAAGAGGTATCAAGCCAGGAGGGAGCTTCGGGGTCTACCGTTTAAATTTTAATTTTTTAATGAATTTGATAAATTGAAACCTTTAATTCAAAAACCTATCAAACGCCCCCCCCCCCAAAAAAAATTAAAAAGCGTTAGCGGCGAGATATGGTTTCACGAGAATAGAACATCGTTTATTGCAGAAATGATATATCTGTAACTCCCGCAATATAGTCTTAAAGACCTAAAATCATCGTGTGTAGAACAAAATCTCGCCTAGCGACGTCGACGGGTTTCTGTTGTCATCCAAAATGAAATTTCATTTTACCAGTGTAGTGATGTATGTGGACATTAACGCGGATAGTCACGTGAATAGTTAATGATTAAACTAATTAAATTACTCTAATGATTAAACTAATAGTTACAGTAGGATTAATTACGGTAGAAATGATTACAAAAGTAATTATCTGTCCTGTCCTATGGCTCGACAGCCCGCTGCGGGCCCTGGCCGACCAGCGGTGGCCCAGTCTCTTTTTTGAATTGAATTTGCCTTATTTTACGTGGCGAGACTCGGGCCATCAGGCCCGCTCTTCCGTCTGACCACGCAAATTTCGCTACGCTCCTTTCACCGACTAGTAGAGAAAAGAGGTATTTCTTGGGCGAGAAACAGGCGTTTTGAATTTAGCTCAGAGGCGTCATTTAGGCTTGGGGATCTTTTACATGCACGTAAATCTACTAACATGGCACAGCCGGTTTTACTTCCCCTCCGAAGGAAGGCGTATGAAGGATTTTGTCGCCCTTAAAAATCCACGGCTTCGATCGGATTTGAATCCGCCAGCTTGGGTATAACAGTCCGGTACGCTAACCGTCACATCATCGCAGTCTCTCGACCGTGGGACAAGGGATTCGTAGGGTTAGCTCCGAAGACACTTCAATAGATACTAGGACATTACTAAGGAATGCATACAGTTATTGTTTTGGCCCGGCCGGGTTCGAACCCGAGGTTGCGCGTGGAAAACGAGCATGCTAACCAACGAGTCATTTCCTACGAGAGCCTACAGAGCTGTTCTAACATAGGAAAAAATATAATCAAGAAACCCGTTGTAAACCAGTAGTTAGGCCGTTCATTGATGTATCCACTAAGGCTACTTTCACTTTGCTGAAGACGAATCCTGTTCTAGAGTTACCTGCCGAGGTGGCTTATTCCGTAGGAACGGTAAGTTCATTAACCTTATTTATAAATTACTATCTAAAATACGTACAAATAAAGCATTCATTTGTTTTTCTCAATGTAAGAAAGTCCTTCAATAATATTGCAGTTATCTTAAAATATTCCAATGCACAGGTTTGTTCTACACCAGTTTTCTTGTTTTCTTTTAGTTGTTTAAGATCGCATCAACAACTAGGTCATTAGCGACCACTATTGCGTGTAACGGTATGGCAACAACAAGGAAGACACGGTATGATGATAGGGGTGTGAAAGGACGAACACAATACAACCATGCCCAAGACGGGACTCGAACCCGCGATGCTTCGGTCCGAGATCGCTACGGCACTATTGTCTTAGCAATCTCGGCCATCCGGACCAGCTGCAATTCTTGTTGTAGGTATGAATTAATAATAAGAATGTAGGATTTAGTGAAGCTGACACCAATAAGAAAATTATGAAAAGTAACTTTTTTGTGACATTTTGCACTGGAGAAACAGATGCGGTGAAGGTGATGGTTATGGCTATGCTGCTCTTCAAGACGAATAACAAGTTGTAGTTTTCAAGATTTTTGTGGCAAAAATTGCATATCTTCTAAAATCATATCGTCTAATCTTATGGATAATAAATAGTAAGAATCATGATTTCATTACAAATAATAACACCTTATAATAATCGATATTACAAATAAAAATACTTTATTTCTGATATTTTATTGTAGAAACTCGTAGAATGTTTTACACTTTTAAAAAATTAATGTAATCAATAAAAAAGTATTTACATGAAAAATATTAATTTATCTACATCTTTAATATTAAAAATATTTTGAGATCAGCAAAACCAAACCTACATTACTAGGACACTTTTTCTCGCTTTGAAATGAGGAATTGGCTTTTGACGAGTTTCTGAAATAAGCGATTCAAATGAGTAATTGATGTAACTAATAATATAGAAGTCCATTCTTACAAATACAAATCATTGTACAATGTTTGTCTCTGTTTTTGAAAAACTTATCGACATTCTTGCATCTATTTTCTATTTAATGATAGAGACTAATACATTTTCAAATAAAAGTCGATGTATCTGTATCACATAGTAATGTTTTAATATATTATAAAAATAATCGAAATGCTACAAAATAATTTCCAAACTGTATTCTGAATATTCAGTTGTCTAGTGAATAGACTCAATGGTCTTATCAATGGTGAAGAATGGTGATATAACTCAAAGTATAAGGAGCACTAGTAATAAATTGCATTAAATGTTGAACAAAAAGTATATTATAAACATAAATAATTTTCAACCAATTATGTATATACTCACGACTAGATAGATAATTGTTTCTTTGATGGTGAGGACACCCATAGCGCCACTTTGCACGACATAAACATTGTGAAATATTTTTTAATAAGCTTTATTTTTTAGCCGCATGAACTACAAGGTAATTTGCGACCGTATATAGTACAAATCTTTCCAATGCATCATATAATTTAATATCCTTCAGAAATTTGAAGACATATGTGAGAAGTTTCAGTAAATAATTTGGAAAAATAATTTGAAAGTAAATGTTGCATACAAATGTCTGATCACACTAGACAATGTAATAGATGTGAAATTATATTAGATGAAATAATATGTGTAATTGTTAAAGGGATGTTGCATGATACATAAAGTAATGGAGATTCTTTCTTAAAGAGATATGAGTGGGTCAAACGGCTATGTCCTATTCGAAGTCTTGCGAAAATAGATTCTTCTTTTCTTGTTTGAAGTGAAGAAGCGTTTTTATTGTAGATACTTCTGACTTGAGGGAAGTGACTACGTTGTGTTCCATTGGAGCTTATTATGTCTCTAGAGTTCGTTTTTTGATGTCTGTATGTGAAATAGTTTTTTTTGCAGAGGGAGTTTAGTTCATTTCTAAGCAGGTGAGTCTACCAGGAAATTACCTTGGATTCCTTTACGAGGTGGAATTCATGAAAGAATTATGTCTATAATATTATATGACAAATAATTGTAAATATTACGTCATTGTTATTAATTTGACAATTTAAGACATTCATTGAATTAGGAAATACATTTATCGTCATCGGTATTGCATTGAAACACATTGCTATTGCGGAAACTGGTGTATAGTAGGGAATTCTCTTTTATTTAATGAGTGCTATGTAAGTTATGTAAGTTTTTATAATTCTGCCGTTCTTAAGTTGCAGGATCACAGTTACAGATCTCTGTTAGTAACGTATTCAGTTTTGAAAAGACAAAAAACAAGTGAAGAAACTAAATTATTAGCAAACTTCATGAAAGTGTTGATGGTATGTGAAAAGATATTCAAAGTTCAACCCATTATCAGCCAGCGTTCTTATTCAAAGATAAACATTTCTGATCAACCTTTATTTGCTACTTTTGAACTAATTGGCGAATTTTATATCTTCAACGAAATTTGTAAGCAAGCGTTCGAATTTGTGAATGCTGGATGTTGATGTTAAATCGCCAAGTATTGTGATGGACTATTGCCATTATAAATATTGTTACAGAAAATCAATTAATTTTTGATAAAAATCTCAACATTTTGATCCTGACATAGCTTGTGGAGATCCATAGAATTATTTACTTCATTAAATCCGTGAACTGAAGAGGATGATGAACATTATAATGTTATAAAAATATGTTATGAAAAGATATTGTAAAAATGTTATAAAAAGAAAACAAGTTGGTTACAGACAGCACGGTAAGCGTAAGTGGTTAGAACGATGATGAAGTGGACTGTAGTCTAATTTACATTAAATTATTGTAATTAATAGAATAAACTCTTTTTTGTTATCGAAGTACTATTTTCTTTGTGTGGGAAAAGGTAACATTTTGATACTAATTTTGTACTACAAAAATGTTTTTTCT